AATGCATTAAGAGAAAAAAAAGGTAACAGATAACGGCTGGTCATCCAACGCGATGAATTCAGCTATCTTGGCTGTTATTTTTTTGGCCTTTTCACTGTTCTGGGGCAGTTTCTCTTTCCTTTTAAAAGTCTCTGAAAGTGTCAGTTGTTTCAGTGCCGTTACCTGAGTGGCCGCTGTGTACTCGTCGTGTTGTTGTTGGTGTTTGTTTCTCAGGTGGCGTATTAGATTGGTCGTGTTGAACGTAGCTCTGTTCTTTCCACCACGCGGAACCTCCGCCTTGCAAACATTGCATCTGGCTGTTACACTGCCTTCGCTTTCAATTTTATAATACTTCCAAACTCCTGACATTTTCTCTGTCCCGACTCCCGAGTCACCAGCTGAACGTAGCCTCTTGTTAGCTTATTGCTACTATTAGACACTACGCCCACTCTGTTGCCAGATTTGAGAGAAATAAGCAACCAGGTCGATGAAAACAAGCCCAAAAGAAGCAACACATACATGATGTTGTGTAATTTTAAACCAAAACTAAGGCCTCAGGATGACTTTAAGACGTGAACATGGTCATTTTTGTTTTGTAACCTTAAATAAAATAAAAATATTTTATATAAAAAAAAAAAAAAAAAAAAAAAAAAGATTCCCAATCCCCGATTTTTTTCTCCCGATTCCGATCTTTTGAAAATCACGTGATCGGCTCCGATCCCCGATCACGTGATCGGATCATCTCTAAAAATTACAATGTTCCAGCACTCATTGCAGAGAGAAGCAGAATCCAAGTGTTGTGAGATACGGTGTGAGAGTAGGAGATAATGAACCTTCAGAAAGTGGTCATGTTTCCTGGATTTTATTTTGGTCTAAGATATAATTAAATAGTCTGTATGTCTTAGAGTGCCACATCAAATTGATGTGAAAAAATCCAATTATTAATTCTAACGCTTCATCCTGTAGTCTGTCACCCGTGAGAGCGTAACCGGTTACATATGCATGTATTACGATCAAGAGGAAATATTTTTCAGTTTGCCAAGTCTATAGAAAAGAGTGCATTCAAACTGGAACTAACAATACTAGGATTGGTTAAATTAAGATTCTACATTTCACTATGTGTCAAATTAAATGTTAATTTTATTCAAATCCTCCGGTTTCCATTTTTGATCGTCTTGAAGGACACATTTATCTTAAAAAGAGTATTTTATTAAAATGTGATTTTCACATTAGCAATGTACATAATGCTTTGTGAAGATTTGGCAGCATGTTTGCATTACATGTATAATGGAAGATTCATAACCAATGCTAATCCTGAATGCTAATGCAGGATATGCCTTTAAAGAGTGACGTACACATTACATTGTTACCTCCACCAGAGGGGATATGGCTCAGTTTAAGGGGTTTGTATGTCAAGATCAGAGGAACAACTACATACAAAATGCTTTGCGAAAATAAAATGAAGAAATGACAACCGTAAAAACTGAAACTAACCAATAACAGACACAAAAAAACACACTAAATTAAAAAACACTCAACAGCATGAGTCCAGACCAGGCCAATTATAATAAGTGGGTCTTAAGTCGCTTTTCTAAAAGGGACCGCACATTGAGTGCAGAGCTTGCCACAGTGTCTGAGCCACCACTTCAAACTAAAAAACATTTTGATTATGATTACTACTCAGTTAACCTGCTGGGAGGGAATTATGACCTGTTAAACTTCCTTACAATAGTTTGGCAATTTGGGGTTAAGTATCTTGCCCAAGGACACTTGGACATGTCGGCTTCAGGGACTGGGGATCGAACCAATGACCCTGTGATTGCTAGACACCCATTTATCCCCTACGGATCAAATAAATGCAGCAGTTTGAAGGAAATGATTTAACAATATGTAAATAAGTGTGAGTGAGGGAACAATGCCCCATTTGAAAAAAACAGCACGCAAGCGATAATAAAGGGTTACGTTTGGTTGTTTTTAAGGCTGATGTTGAATTTTGTCACTTTTCAGAATGTCTCATTCATGTATTTGTCACATTTCGAGAAGATACTGTACTTTTTCAGCAACAGTGGGTAGTGACAGCTGGCCTACATAGTACACTGCAAAGGCTCAGGAAAGAAATTGCTCTTAAATCTAAATCTGCATTAGTGTAGCAGAGAGTGAACAGACAAATGCTGGCGGTAAGCAGCCATGTAACCAGCCACTGAATTACTCCCACATGACCGCCCACTGAGGATGGAGAGAAAAGGGCTGGTCCATTCAGTGTGAATGTCAGAGGTTATTTCAGCAGCATCTCTTCAGGGCAGTGAACAGTCACCCCACCGCCTCGCTACATCTGGGAAACACTGCACAACCATCGTCACAGTAACTGACTTCCTCCACTCTCTACAACATCATACAAACACACCTAGACTAAATGTTGCTTCACTATAAATCAGCAGATACAGTAGTATGCTGGTGAGAGGCTGCGGGCCAATCACAATCCAATGAAAATCAAGCAAAATAAATATATTTTAGATAATGTTGTTAAATACAGATTTAATTATGCTGCAGATAATATTGCAAATAGCCAGACCTTCTAAGAATATCTTAAATGGAGAAAAAGTATTAATAGCTCAACAGTGCCTAAACTCTCTCACATGTTCATTCAACTTCACTACTCGTATGGTAGTAGTTTCGGAGTCTGAGCTCATCTCCAGTGGAGGGGCATTCATTTGCCGAACATCTCCAGTGATTACATCGTGATGAGTGCATCACCTGAAATGTGGCTGTTTAATGCCGCCGGGCCGGAATGGGGAAATCAATGAAGCAGTGGACAGAACAGGCTTGTTTGCTGTTCCACCATACAATCCCCGGAGAGTCAGCATCCACACTCATTAATGAAGACAAACAGACATGATACTGATACACTATGAATAGGACGGATGGAGATACCCACTGTCTCTGAATGTCTTAAGGTTATTGACTTATGGTGTCTATACTGTATATCTTATTGCTTAATTCTCTGGGTTGCTTACTATAACGGTGACCATATAAGGAATAAAATATATTAAAACAAAATTAAAACAGGCCCTATTAGGCTTTTTGGGTTCTCCCTTTCCTGTAGTGTTATATAGGTTTTAGTGCATGTCAATGGTCTGCAAAGGCTAAAAATCCCAAAATTCACACCAGAGCAGTTTCTCTTCCATTTTCTCAATTGGACTGCTTTGTTTACTTCCATAACATAGTGACATCACTGTGTAACACTCAAGCTTCTATTGGCTAGCGCTCCAACAAGTGATGATGATTACCAAGTTAGGAAAATTACATTTAAAAAGTACAGTATTTTTCAAGCAAAAACATTTACTGGTCCCATCTGGTCAGTTTTATAACTGAATATTTGGGGATTATTAAATGTCAGAAAATTAAATCTCCAGACACAGCCTTACTCTTGAAAATTGTGATTGTATTTTCAGACATTTTAGACCAAATGATCAATCAAATAATTGACAAAATATCACCAATAATGGCAATCAGTTGTAGCTCTGGGGCCTTGCAGTTAGTCGATGTCATTATTATGACATCTAGAGGCTAAAGGCTTGATTGAATAAATGATCACTACTGAAATCATCATGAGATGCTGCCCTGATGAATGCTGGACTAACTTTCTTCCTCAGTCAGGAGCATCAGGTGTATGCAGCCATTGTAACTTGGTTTAACCCAATCATTGCCCAGTGAAAACCATAAGTCTCAAATGTATGGTTTAAAAAAAAATCTTCCTCACTGTGTTTAATAGTGTTGAAACTCATTGGAATCTATGAAAAATGCTATGCCAAAAAAACTGAAAACAAGTCTTAGTACTTTAGTAGCTGAAGGCTTTTATTGGAGAGCGACAAAAAAGCGAAATTGTCAATTCAATAGAAAAACAATACAAATCTGTAGAAATGTAAATTGAATCCAGCTAAATATTGTAATTTCTTTGGTTAAAAGAACAACTTTTTTTTTCAATGTCCTAAAAAGATAACTTGAATGTATAGTAAACATTTGTATTTCCTTCATAGATTAATAAGAACTGGATACATATTGACACTACTTACGTTATATTACATATCACCAAAACCATTTTAAACACTTCGTGCAATTCTTCATTAATATATTATTAAACTAAAACACTAATGTATATATTTAAATACACATCTTACATATTGTTGTACAATGTGCACATTTGTACTCTAACCCCTTATGTTTATATAAACATAAGTATCCTATGTTAATTCATATTATTTTAAAGGGGATTCGTTTTGTTTCTTATGGACTTTAACTTCTTATGTTTGTGAACATATTTTGTATTTGATCTTTTAATTGTAGATTCTTTTTTTTTAAAACTCTTTTCAATCTGAAATGGAGCAACTGGCACACAACAACTAAATCCCCCCAGGATAAATAAAGTACTCTGATCCTTTCTTTTCAACCACTTGTTTTGAAGTGAGTAGTGGAAAAGTAAATGAGAAATGTGTTAAATCCACAAAGCTCAGCAGGGTTTGCATTAGGCTACTATCTCTTCTCTCTGCTTTTACACTGTGTCTCTGTGCAACTGTTGCTGTTCCACTCTCCACTGTGACCAATGTCTGCTGATGCACCCGAACAGAAAGCACAAGGACTGGAAAGAGGCACAAATTAGCATACTTATAAAACACAAAAATGTTTCCCTTTACTTCCAGATTTCCCAAAGAGTATGAGACATATGGAAGAGGAAGGCTGACTGAAGCAAGGTGCTGCTAATCCTTCCCCCTCCTGTATTTAGTCTAATAAAAAAGGAGCAGTTTTCTGTAGGTTTTGCATGGTACAGATCCTAAATCAGCTGCGTGGCTGGCTGTATGAACAAAACATGGACTATACATATAAATAGAGGCCTTAATGGGAATTTTATCACAAGGACTTTTTAAGGTTATGATCACAAGTGACACACAAGTCGTGGCAAAAATATCGCAGCTAGAATAAGCTGGTAGTGAGGTAAGGTCAGAAAAACTGCGGAATCCACTCACCTGATGCAGACTTTTAGATGTCCTTAATCAAATAAATCCCCAGGAATAAATCGCTTCTTCAAAACGAGAGTGCAGGTGACAGTTCTTGCGCAAAATAAGACAATGTTCCGCCGCTGAGTTGTTCTTGTAGTTGGGTCTGTAGCGGGATGTTTACCGGGCAGCAGCCTCAGCTGTTAGCCATGGCTACCGGCAGCAACAGCTGAGCCCTTCGCCTTCCTCACACTCAAATCTCACACAGGTTTTGTGGTGTCTGTTGTGTCTCCTTTCAATATCATTACCAGGGTCTGGATGACTGTGAGCAGCAGGCAGCGACACACAGGCGGCGGGGAGCAGCGGACCCGCGGCGGCCTCCGTAGCTGAAGCCCGGGGACTCGGTCGGAGCTCCGCCGGTCAGTTAAAATCACTTCCTACTGTCCGGTGGAGCAGAGATATATCCCTTCCACGGGGGTAAGTCCGGTATCACCCAGGTCCTGCTTGTGTGTCTGAGTTTTCGGCCTCAACACAGCAGCTCTTTCTTCCTGACAAGCTTCCAGCGTCCAATCACAGCTCGGCATCCAGAGAGGGGACGCCGGGGAAGAAGGAGTGGATCAGGACGGACTGGAGTCTGGACCGGACCGGCTGTGGTTAGGGGCTCAGGGTCACGGGGCCACAGCCAAATTCGATCACAAATGGGCCGGATCAGTAAAATCATAGCATTAATGACCTATGATAACTACCTTTGTTTTAGTGCAAAAAAGGTACATTCTGAAAATGTTCACGTTTAATGAACTATCTACAAAACATTAGGAACAACCTGACATTTCTGAAGAAAAATAAGTGCAATTTCAACAGTTTTGAGCCTCAGTTTATCATTAACACATGTGCATTACAACGTACAGATCAGTGTCTACTAGACAACTCTCTGCTCCATAGCTTCCGATAACTGGACACACATTTACATTTGAAATTTATATTTTATTTAATTCCATTCCCTACACTCTTAATGTAAATAATATCCCGTTCAATATTGTGTCTAAAGCCTTTCAATAGTCTTGTATTGCCAAAGTTTATAGATTTTTTTTTTTATCTTCATGGTCTAATGTATATTTTCTACTTTTTAATGCTGTTTTAATTCTATTTTGAGATATTTAAATTCCAGTATTGTTTATTTCTACTCTTTAATTTCTACTAATGTGCAATGCCTTGTTTTGTTTTGTTGTTTTCAGTTAATGTCTTCTCTGTAATATTTTACTGGCGGGCCGGTTTTGGCTCACGCATGTTTGACACCCCTGGTTTAGGGACTCAGGAGGCTAAAGCAGGGCTGGATTACCCCCCAGTTTGCCCTGGGGCTAAAAGTAAGCTTGAGGCTCCGACAGGGGGTGTTTCTGTGAAGTGATTATCACCGTGATCCTCACAATTCCATCTGGCCCCTTACACCCCCTAAACTCAGCTGAAGAGAGAACTCATAGCAACTTTAAAGGTTCAGAATCAGAATCTACCTTTATTGTTTACACATACAACGAATTTGCTTTGGTGTATAATGGTGCAAACATAATCAATGTAAGAAAATAAGTTATAAGAGAAGGTCGAAAATATAACGATTATATATATAAAAAAAACTATTTACCATTAAAAAAGAATAAAGACAAGTCATAAAAGACTGTATTGTCATGCACAGCTACAGTGTAGTGATGGCAATGCAAATCTAAAGTCCCAGGCTCCTCCAACAATGCAACATAAATATATATAAGACATAAAACAAATGAGTACATTTGAGCACATTCATCTGTTTAAAGCCCACATATTTATACGCAGTATTTTATTCCACTGTACAGAATTTAGTTTGACTTTGTGTTCATCTTATTCTATTTTACGTCAACATCGTGTATTATTCCTGCATTTTACTTGCACCATTGTGACACTTTATTCTTTCACTATTTCTGTCTTTTTTCATGTCTTAAGTATATTGTATGTTGCACTGTTGGAGGAGCCCGGGACTTAAGAAGTGAATTGCCAACAACTAGCTATTGCTAGGGACGGATTGGCGGGATTTGGGACGGAGTGGCGCAGTGGGCTGTGCGTTGATCATCAGATCAAGGGTGGCGTTGGGGAACTCCAGTTCGAAACCCGCCACCGCGTGAGGCCGTTGTGTCCTTGGGCAAGACACTTCACCCAAATTTGCTCCTGTGGGTACTGTCCACAGTACATGACCGTTACATGTATGTATGATATGTGTGTAATGTGTACTTGTAAAGCGCCTTGATGACTTCGAGGTGTGAAGATGGGCGGAGTGGCGCAGTGGGCTGTGCGTTGATCATCAGATCAAGAGGGCGTTGGGGGAACACCAGTTCGAACCCCGCCGCTGCTGCGTCTGTAAAGCCGTTGTGTTCTTGGGCAAGACACTTCACCTGAATTTGCTCCTGTGGGTATTGTCCACAGTACATGACCGTTACATGTATGATATGTGTGTAATGTGTATTTGTAAAGCGCTTTGAGCTTCTGGAAAAGCGCAATAATAAATGTAAGGAATTATTATTATTATTATTGCGCATATATCAATAAAACCTTTGAATATTGAATCTTAAATGTTGAAGCTCCATTCTTTAGGGTGTGGGGTACAAAAACAGCAGCAAGATATTGGTCTTGACTTGGTCTCAACCTCTTAAAGTCTTGGTCATGACTTGGTCTCGGTTAAGGTGGTCTTGACTACAACACTACTACTGTTGTGTTCGTTAGGGATATCGTTTTTTTCCTGTGGACTACACCCGCATTTAGTAGCGTTCCCTTGGATACAGTCTCCATTGTGTTGTGAGCTTCTTGCAGTGTATTTTTATTTTGGCAGCGCTTTTTCCAAATGACGCTTTTGTTGTTGAATTGGTGGAGATATTTTCTTTGTTTGCCATGCGTTGAGTTCTCAGAACCACTTTATCTGCCCTTTCCTGCCCTAAAAGTAGTACTTCTGTATGTATCCTTGTCAATTGCATACAGTAGGACAAGAGTGAGGCTGCTCCTTTGTTTGCCCCTGTGTCCTTCACTGCAAGCCATTATTCACTGCTGATAGTGTGACACCCTCCAACAATACTTAATAACAGCAAGCTGTGTTTGGTTTTGCACACACACGCGCGCACACTCACGAACACGCACACACTCTGCTATTGCCTGACAGTCCACAAGGTAACTCATTAATTATATACACTGCAGACTGATGAGGGCATTCATTACAGTATGTGTGTTTATGTATATTTAAAACCTTTCTTAGTCATTGGTCATATTTAAGAAAAAAACTCCTGTGTGTACATGACCATAAATTATTTTCAGGGCTTTACTTTGATTATTTTTCGATTGGCTTGATTGAAATGAATTTGGATATATGGATTCACGATCCTCAGAGGATGAATCCTACTGGTTTTGAATCTGTTTGTTTTTTACTAGTTCTTTGACATATTTCAGAATCCTTAAATGAATCCTTGACATTTGAACCACAGTCTGTTATATGACATTTTAGCATTGCATCCTTTTGCTACATTGCTCCAATTTTGCCTCTACTTGACATTACATCTTAGTCTCTTCTCAGCAGCTGATTTTAACATCTAGATAATCACGCAAAGTGTATGCACTCATGTCCTCACTGTCTGTATGCATTCATGTCTTTTAAATGCATGTTACTAAATCTGAATCCATGCACTATCTCCGTCTAGCACATTGCAACATGGCTGCGTCTGGATCATGAATCATGGCTGCTCCTGTTGCCCAGCTCATATTATTGCTGACCCCTGGAAGCTAATGTACTTGAAATCCTCCTGGGTCTTTCTTTTTCATATATCTTCACATTATCGTTTTGTTCCGTCTATGTAATGTTATTACATTGTTTTATACTGTACGCACAACATCTACTGCTTGATCATTGGAGGTTTCTTTCATTTTTCTCCCTTTCATTTTTGCGTTTCCTTTGGGGAGTTTTTCCAAGTCTGCTACCAAAGCTAAGGACAGAGGGTGTTGAATGCTGAATATAAAGCCCACTGAAATACATGTAATTTGTAATATAGGGCTAAATATATAGAACTTCAGTGACTGATTGACGTATTGAGAGTGTTTCTGCTTTCCTTGCAGTGATGATAAGTGGTGGCAGGCTACCTTCAAGCTGGGGGGGGGTCTCTGAGCGTCGCTGCTGGCTGGAGCTCAGCCTCACTAACCTGGAAATCCACATGCAGCACTGGCCATGCTCTCTGCTCAGCCACACTCTGTCCAAGTGATGAGCCTGAAACACATTGTAATATCATTCTATTGTAGCTTTGAAGGAAACATCAAAGGGCCGTTTTGAATGAGAATCTAATCCTCTTCACCCTGAGGAGAAATAGGCAGTAACTATAATTCTTCTTGTGGTAAATCAATACCAATTTACACATTTAATATTAGTATGTGTATGGAAAAATGAAGGCACGCAAGGAAATGACAGGTGACAGCCAATCGCTTTTCCACTCTCCCTTGACTGACTTATGGACACATTTAATATAAGGGACCTGATTTGTGTTTGATTTAAATGGATCCTTAATGTGCAAAGGGCGATACAAAACAAGTATACAATACAAGATTAGAAATGAGTTTTGCTGAACTGCACATACTAGAGCCAATCATTTGGTGGCCCAGAAAACTCAAAGAACTATACAGATTAAGGCCCCGGCCCCACGGGAACGCATACGGCAAAACGCATAGGATTAACGCAAACGCAATCGCCAAAAAGCTTCCGTCCACACGCAATATACACCGGATAGTGTCTGCCCACACGAGATAGCTCCGTTTAGATCCAACCGCTGGAAAAGCTGCAGTACATATGCCGAGCCTGTACGTGGCGCTGTAACTTCCTCCACAAAAGCAGCGAAGAAAAATGGTTGTCATGGCTGCACTTCTGTTTATTCTCCGCGGTGGGGGCCGAGGGAACCGGGCAGAGTTTTTCGCCGGTCAACGTGTGTTAAAGTTGAAATCTTCCGGACAAAATTATAAAAGTGCCGGTCAAAGGTCTTCTTTGTTATTTATTGAGCTTTAAAACAAATGAATAACGACTATATAATAATAAAATACACGGAGCCTGTCCTCTCTTTTTCCTCTCTTCTGACAGCGTCAGTGTCTGTCTCATGCAGCAGCTGATCCAGTAATGAGTGACCCGGCCGACAGTAAAAAATAAACATATTTATAACTAGTTTAGTTTGAGAGGTAATTAAAATAGCTAAGGGTGATGATCTGACTTGAAGTGTGTGTTTTCCTCCCGCTGCATCACAGCGGGAGGAACTGCGTGTCTCTGTCCTGTCAGATTAGACTTCACTCGCGTTTATGTCCATATCGAGAGAAAGATAAATAATCTGAATTCAGTGTGCAGTGTACTTTTGCGGGGGTGAGCAGCAGAGGTGGGGGGAGGCGGGGCTATTGCGTCGTCATTATCACAAAATGATCGTATAGAGGCGATCACACGGAGCCGTTGGACCCCCCAGAGCGCTCCGTTCCCAGATCTAT